TAGAAATCCCACCTTTTAGTTTATTTATTACCATTATCCCCTATAAGTTTTACAAATCTCAAAAATCCCTCATTTTCGCGCATCAGATTAGTGTATCAGCACTTATATTATTGTATCTCGCGCATCAGATTAATGTATCAACGCTTATATTATTGTATCCATTTGAGGAATTTCTGTAATTATAAACTTTTAAGGGATAAATTGTAATTTTACCTTAAAAGTATGTGATTTCTGTAATTTGTCCTTCCTTTTATGATTCAAAATGTATCATATTTCATAAAGTTATGTGTCTCTTTGGATGTTTTATATTGCATTATATTTGCGTGTTATGATGTCTTAGTCTAGATTACGATTGATCGTATGATGAAGATGGGCTGTTAGAAAGCGGATCTTGAATTTAAATTTATCAGTTCAATATTTAAAGTTTTTAGCATCGAATTATTATAATTTTGGAGTTGCAGGTTCATATTTAGTATTTTCTCTGTTTCAATTTGTTTATCCCCCTTTTTTTTTTTTACTTTGCACAGAGTTTAACAAGTAAAGAACACATTTATCTAGTGGTATTAAATAAAAGATATGTAGAATGTACTAAAACGTTATTTCATCTTATAGTCTTAAACATATCATAACAAAAAAAAAACTGAAATCAAAGAATTATTGGAAAAGAATTGAAATAAAGAGAATAGTATTTTATTACGATTTTTGTAAAAGTTTACACATAAGTTTAAATTTATGATTAAATTTAGATGAAATGGATATTTGAATCCACACTTGGTTGGAAGCAACATGTTTCTCGTTGATTTACTATGAACCACACACATTTTTTTGTCATCATTCTAATAAGACAAAGTATGAGTGAAAATTAATCGATTTTAATATAAATATCGAACAATTACGAGTGAAAAGCAAAAAAATATCATGTCTTTCTAGTCCACTCCTTTCTTTTTTTCACGTAACAAAATTACTAGTACACTACACAATAAGTAGTAATGGAACCAAATTTTTTATTCAAGAAATTTAAAATATAAAAAAAAAATATGAAGAAATTAAAGAACTTCAATATATATTATATAAATAAAAATAAATTTACAATATAATTTCTCGTCAAACTCTCTTGGTCTTACTTGGCTCCGATCTTAACCACAAGGAATGAGGTTTTGTATTGTTTTGCTGGTCTTTTTTGCCATCGACATCCCCTTTATTTCCTTTTCGAAAAAATTCATGATTGTCACATTTTTATTTTATTATTTATTATATTAGAAAGTACGATTCTTTATCCTAATATTCTCATTTTGATTCCATCTTCATAGGTTACTATTTTTCCATCACATAATTACGATTTATCATAGATTAAAGTCACACAATTATATTCTCTATCAAAAGAATTGTAAAAACTTTTACCTTATATTATACAAAATTTACTATTGATGGAGAAATCAACTCTCTATGGCTAAATTTTTTTAATCTATTTTAAAATTTTATTTAAATAAGTACAAAAGAGATTTTTGTTTATGGTCTACATTTACTTGCTAAGATGTCCATGTGCCTCTCAAACAAACAATTAATGGTGACATGACATTATATCACATATGTATCATGTTGGGTTTTGGGTGAGGATTTTTGGAGATTCACTAATTTTTACATAATTTTAATATTTGTATTGAGAATTGGTTAACAATATTTGAGAAATTTGTGTTAAGAAACTTAATAATAAAGTAATCTCTTGGTCCAGTAGTAGAAATGAAACTCACTTAACTTTGTTGCCCACCTCGGTGGTGATAGTTAGAATCTCCTTGAATACTTATATATATACTAGATATAGGACCCCGTGCCAGCATGGGGCCCAATATATATTATCATATTATGGAATTTGAGAAGTTATTGAAATTTTTATATGATTTTAAAAATATTTTAAATTTTTAGCTATTGTGATTGCATGTACTTTTTTT